TCTTTCCTAGAAGGGCCCGCTTAGTAAATGCACCTGCTTCGAGCAGGGCGTTTCCAACGTTTTGGACCTCGAACTACAGTAGGAAGTGCCGGTTGCTCTGTGACTCACACGCACGAGTTTGGTGGAACAGTACTGCCTGACTCCTTGAGCTGCACTTTCTCTCCTCTTTTTCCATTAAAAAAAACCCCACTGGCCCGTGACTCCTCTTCCCTTCAGTGGCCTTGGTGCACTTTGGCTTGATGTACTTTGGCTGTCCTGGACACGCCTTCCCTAGACAGTGTTGAGGGTTGCTGCACAGCTCTCCCGATGGCCGACGTAGGCCTGCGGCGACCTCTAGTGGCGGCAAGCCCTTCCTGCAAGGGCTGCCTGCACTGCGGAGTGGATGGCTTCTGCCAGGTGCACCTTGAGGGCTGCACCCCGCGCTGCAGGCATGCTGGGCCCTCTTCAGACCTGCTCACTCCTGAAGTCTCCTGTAAGGACAGCAGAACCCGTGAACAGGTGGCTGCTCTCCTGGCCTCTGAGAAAACTGTGAACTGTGGTCCCAGCTCTGCATCTGGCCAGCAGTGGGACTGCTGGGGCGGGGGCACCTACCAGATCTGCAGTGGTCATCACAGCACGCTGGGACAGTGACCGTCCATCCCTGGTTCGCCTCTTCCTGCGTCCTCTCAGCCTGAGGGTCTGGCGTGGGCATCCTCTGAAAGTCATTCCTTTCTGTGCTTCTAGTCAAAGGCCGGTGGAGCACACCAGTCACCAAAGAGGCCCGTCCACAGACCAGGCCCCAGCATGGGACATTGCCGGCCAAGTTGGTGGAGACGCCCACATCCACGCTTCAGAGCCCTGGCAGCTGTGGTCCTGACCTGACCCAGGGGTCCACCCCCACTCCACGCCCCAGAGCTCACAGACCCGCCAGCACGCCTGCTTCCCCTGGGCCTGGGCTGAGGTGAGCCCTGGACTGGCCCTCGTACTGGGCCTGGGTTGGAGGCTCCTGGCCTCAGGCAGCCCCGTTCTGGGCTCCCTTGGGCTCTGCAGACAGGGGAGGGCACAGACAGACATAAACAGGAGGTGCTTTGGGAGGGTCCACCCTGAACTTGGAGGAAGGGACCAGGGATTGCTTGCTCCCAGCTCAGACAGACCCACCCTTCCTTCGCCCACCTCTCCTCCGTCCCTGGGTGTCATGCTAGGGTGGGGGGGTGGCTGGTCCTCAGCGGGAAGAGCTGCCCCCCCAGCCCACCATCTGAGGGAGACGCCACCGTGGCTGTGGTGCTCCCAGATGACATCTGGCTGTCATCTGAGCCTGAGTGAGGTGGCAGGGCTGGCTCTGGGCAAACCAAACACACGTGCAAGGAGGTGACCTTTACTTCTGAAGTTTCTTTCTGGCTCACGCACCCCCCATTTATCCTCCTCCACGGCAGCACGCCCCCTTTCAGCTCTGAAGAGGACTCCGAGGAAGACTCTGTCCAGCGCGTGTCTCTTCAGCCCCCAGCCACTCCTGCCAGGATGGTGCCCCGGCTGCAGGCTGACTGGGACTGGTCTGACACCGAGAGCTCAGAGGGGAACGCCCAGCCCCCTGGCAAGGGGTCTGGTGGGCTGGCCTCCTCAGGTGAGTGGGGCGCGACCCCTGGGGCAGCTCTTCTCCAGCCCGGCTTTCTCTAGGCTGGGCAAACACCCCTCCACTTTCTAATTGGGTATTTCACTATTCTGTTTGGCGGGAATGGCCCTCTTCCCCTCAGGTGCTTTTCTGGGATAGAGATAGCAAGAGATGCTAGAATTTGAGTGAGGCTTCCTTTCTCCTTCTTTTGTCATTGAGTTGTTTAACGTGGGAGGTTGGCGAAGCCCACTCACCTCTTTTCTCCTCCAGGTTCTTTTCTAAGGATCTAGACATAGTCATTTCCTTCCGCAGTGAACATCGCGTGGTGTTACACATTCGATCACAGTTGTACTAATTATCCTTTAGGAGGTATAGATCGTGTTATCAGCACCATCTTTACTTGGCTGTGTGGTGTACAGTTCCATAATCCACTCCACTTTCTACATGCATTCTTGCGTCTGTTGCTCGTGTTCTCCTGGAACCCCCCTGCCTCCAGCCTCTGCCCACAGCCTGTGGCCACTGCAGCCCTTCTTTCTATTTTCCTTTTTCTTTTCCTCCTCCTCCTTTTTCTCCTCCTTCTCCCACTCCTCTTCCTCCTTCTTCCCTTTATAGTTTCTGGTATCTACTCCCTTCTCGTATGCCACCCAGTCTTTCAGTTTCTGCCATAGCGTGCGGACATTTGGTTCGTGTTAAGCAGGGATATACGATATCTGTCCTTCATAGCCTGGCTTACTTCATGTAGTATCACATCTTCCAGGTTCATCCACTTTGTAAAAACAGCAGGATTTTGTTTTCTTCACAGTTTTCTCCTCCAGGTTCTCCCCAATAGAAAATAAACACTATGGCCAGATACAACGAGTTTTGCTCCGGGAACAGTGTCAGGGAAGGAATGCCTAAGGCATCAACTTCCTGTTAGGGCTGGATTGGAGGAATAGCAGCATGTGAGACCAAAGTGGGGCTCTTCCAGCCTCCCCAGATCCAGACCCTGACTATACCCGTGTACAGAGTTGGGTCAGCAAGGCTGACCCTGAGTGGACAGGATCTTAAACAGGCAGCTGTGAGGAGCATTCCAGCCAGCCTCCAAACCCGGTCAGAGGTGCAGGGAGAGGGTGAGAGAGAGAGAGAGAGAGAAAGAGAGAGAGAGAGAGAGAGAGAGAGAGAGAGAGCAAGCTGGTGTTGCCGTTCACTGAAGCAGCCCTCTGTCAGGCTAGGCTTGCTGCTTCTGTGTGGGTGGGGCAGAGTAGCATGCGGGGGAACAACAGAGAGGGTGTTCTTCCTAGTCTTGCCCATCCTGGTGGGTAGAGCAGAAGTTTCCTCTTCTGTGGAAACTTGAGGCAGGAGAGAGAATGGGTCCCCTCTCTGCTGCCCTTAGTAGGTGCTTACCACCTGCTCAGCTCTGTGGGGCCTCTTCGCAGGAGTGCCTCATTTCCTCCTCCAGCACTGGAGGGGAGGGCTGTCCTACCCATGAGGTGACAGATGGTGAGCGAATGCCTCTGGGACAAGGCTAGTTCGTCACAGTGTCATATAGACTGAGATTTTGTGTTATGTCATTGAAGTTAATGTGTTGAACTCATTACTATTTTTTTCTTTTTACTGATCAAATATTTTTTCCAAGGCCAGCCCTGTAGCTTATTGGTTAAGGGAGCTGGACCCCACATGGTCTTCCACGTGGGACGGCAGATTGAAAAAACACACTGGTCATGTGTGCACACAATGCCCAGGATTCCGACTGGGGGGAGGAAGGAGGAAGGAGGAATGCGGCAGGATCAGGCCCCCTTGGGGAGGTGCTTTCTTTCTCTCTTCTGGGAATTAAAAACAAGTTAAAAAATATTTCTTTCCCCAAAACAACTACCTTTAGCTATGTTCTTAACATTTTCAAGACTATCCATACAGTCTTCTCTGCTGCTTAAGTTCATTAGCACCAGATCCAGAGTTTGTGCTGTGTTTTCCTCCAGGCAGACCTAGGTTTCAATGAACATTTCGGCAACTACGGGCTCCTGTAACACACGGTCCAACGAACATAGCTTTTTGTAGCAAAATGGTCATGGGAAGTGTGCTTTCCTAACTTCCCTGCAGGTGGAGCCCAGCATGGGAGCTAACAGAAAACCAGCCCCTGCCCACAGCCATGGCCACTGCAGCCCTCCTCCGCCTCCTCCTCCTTCTCCTCCTTCTTTTCCTCCTTCTTCTCCCCACTTTCCCTCCTCTTCCTCCTTTCTTCTTCTTGTTGTTCTTCTCTTCTTTCTTCTTCTTCTTGTCCTCTTCCTCCTCCTCTTCTTCCTCTTCTCCTTCTCCCTTCTTCTTCAACAGCAGGCTGCCTCCAGCCTCTGCCCACAGCCTGTGACCACTGCAGCCCTTCTTCTTTTTATTTTCCTTTTTTTTCTTTTTCTTTTCCTCCTCCTCCTTTTTCTCCTCCTTCTCCCACTCCTCCTCTTCCTTCTTCCCTTTTAAAACTATAGGAATGTTCTCTCCCTCTTGGGCAAAGCGACTTAGACAGAAATTCTACTTGTTGATGAAAAGGGCATCGTAGAGATTGAAGGTAAATGTTATGGTAGCCGAAACGAACATATTTATTAAACGTATCATTTACTCAACAGGTTACACGGACTGCAGTTCTCAATACAGCTGTGTCTGCTCCTGGTTTTTCAAATTTTCTTATAAAATTGCTAACTGAGGCCTGTAGCTTCTGGCTTTAGTCTCCCCTGGCCCCTTTTCTTTTATGGTGGCCGATGCATGTGTGCATGTGCATGTGTGTATGCACACATGTGTGCGTGTGTGTGTGTGTGTATGCATGCATGTTCAGGACAGAGAGTGAGAGCGGCTCCCTCGGCGAGCTGATGTCATGCTGCAATCCCCATTCTCCAACCCCCCAGCTCCTCTGATCCTGGGCACCCGTGTGTTTTCAGGTCAAGAACCCGGGGATCTGAACCCACCGTTGGCCACGTGGCTTGCAGCCTAGGAGGGCACTTGTGGTTCTGCTGTGCCTCAGTGGCTGGGCCTTCAGGTGCATCTTCTAGCCAAGACTGAGTTAAAGAACTGGGAACTTGGAGTTTTGTAACTAGAGTGAGTAGAGGTGGGGTATAAGCCTTGGTCCGCAATCTGCGGCATCCCTGCTTTGGGGCCCAGTGCTCTGTGGTGTCCGCAGCATAATCTACGGCTGCCTGCCCATCAGGACCCACTGGAACCAGGTCTGGAGAAGGCCTGTGCCCTGGCCTTGGAACCAGCAGTTTGGAGTCTCCAGAAACTGTTCTGGCTCTGTCACTTGCTGCCTGCTTGTCCTTGCACAAGGAGTTTGTTTCTTTTTGTTGTAAAATGAGATCCTTGGACGAGATGGTTAGAGTGAGGAGCAGGGTCTGGTACGTAGTAGTCCTTTTTCTTTCTTTTAAGAGAGATTTTTGCTACAGGGCATGTGTGTATGCAGGAAAGACAGAGAGAGACAGCAAGATGGAAAACAAGAAATCACCCCCACCTCCCACTGGGGGATGGCCACGCCGCAATCCCTTCTCCTTCATTCTCCTCTCGGGATCTTGGGCACACACACACATGCGCCCAGCGTGAGTCTTCAGCTGCCGGGTCCAGGACTTGAACCGTAGTCGACTACATGGGAGTCCAGGGAGGTACCATTACCCCATCTGCTGGTCCCCACAGTAGTCCTTTAACAAACATTTCTTGAACAAATCAATGAGTTAAAGGCTGTCATGGCTCCAAAGAGTGTGCCCGGGCCCAGACACTGGAATCCTAGAAGGCCGTATCTCGCTCCCTGCTCCTTAGCCATTCCCGAGGCCCAGACGTTGCCCTGGCTTACCAGGCACCAGGGGCCCCTTGATGATGTCACTGCTTAGCTCCTCTCAGCCTCTCCCTTCCTGAGTGGATCTGCAGAAAGCCGGTCCCATCTGCAGCCCTTCTGTGCTCGTGACATCATCATGTTTCTTCTTGTCTCTCGGTGATGGCGTTGAGGGAATGAGTGTCTACCTGGTAGTCGTGAAGTTCATGGGTCAAACTGAGCAGAGTTCCCACCTCGGCCTCCCAGTAAGGGGAAACACAGCTCCCTGAGCCTGTGTCCTCCGTAGTCTTGTCACTGCAGTTACACGTTTTCAGAATAGTCTAAGCCCCTTGTCACTGGGCACACGCTGGCCTGGGCCTTCTCTGTAGTTTCCTGTGCCTCTTCTTCATGTCGTTCTCCCCTTTTCCTCCTGACCCTTCTCCACACTCCCTCTGTCCACACTGGAGCTGGACACAACCCACCAGGATAAAGCACTCGCTCCTGGGCTTGCCCACTGACTCTGCCACTGGTCCCCCTTCCAGGGACGCTGGTGCAGTCGATGGTCAGGAACCTGGAGAAGCAGCTCGAAGCGCCAGCCAAGAAGCCTGCCGGAGGGATCCGTCTGTTCTCCAAGCCCGACGCCACGCCGCAGAGAGCAGCCATGCCAGGAGGGAAGCCTCAGGTGGGATGTGGCCCTGCCATCCCCTCAGGGCCAGCTCTGAGTTTCGGGGACCCAGAGTGAGGGCTGGGGAAGGTCCAGAACATGTCAGCTGTGACCCTCGTGGGACATTGCAGATGACTTCATGGTCGCCCTCTGCCCCCGAGCACGCAGAGGGCTGGCCAGTTTGGGATGCCGCTCATGCCCATGTTAACATGGAAAAGCCCGCTGGCTTGTTACCAGCACCAACATAAAACAGCAAAGTTTAGGTCCCTTGGTTCTAAGGATTCAAGGTCCTGCCTCCTCACTCGAATGTCTCGAGGCCCGACCTCTTCACTGCGTGCGTGACCAGGTCTTCATTTAGAGCTCGGAAGTCGAGCTTCTCCCGGCGTATCAGACCCTCCTCACTGTTCCTCTCCCCCTCGACAGGGAACAACGTGCAGGATCCTGCTATTTTTTGAGGCAGCAAATGTAGAATTATCTTTACTTCACACTCCTTTCTCACTCGAAAAGGTGCATCTTGGGATAATCAGTGCAATTTCCCTAAACTCATAAGTATGAACAATCAGTCTTTGGTTTTGATGGTGTTCTTCCCTTTTATTATGTGCTGTGTTTGATTATAACACAGCTCCTGTATGTTTTTACTTATTTATTTATTTAATTTTTTTTTTGAGAGGTTTTTGCTATAGGGCACGTGCGCTCACCAGACAGAGAGACAGAGAGACAGAAAGTGAGAAATCACCCCCCGGGGGGATGGCCATGCCGCAATCCCTTCTCCTCCATTCTCCTCTCGGGATCTTGGACACGCACGCATAGGCGCCTGGCGTGAGTTTAGGCCTCCGGGTTCGGGACTTGAACTGCGGTTGACTACGTGGGAGTCCAGCGACATAGCCATTTCGCTAACTGCTGGTCCCTATTTATTTATTTTTTGAAGAGGTTTTTGCTATAGGGCGCGTGCACTCGCCAGGCAGACAGAGAGAGACAGAGAGACAGAAAGTGAGAAATCACCCCCCAGGGGGGATGGCCACGCCGCAATCCCTTCTCCTCCATTCTCCTCTCGGGATCTTGGGCACCGCACGCATAGGCGCCGGCGTGAGTTTTAAGCCACTGGGTCCGGGACGCAAACCATGGTCGACTACATGGGAGTCCAGCGACATAGCCATTACGCTAACTGCTGGTTCCAGCTCCTGTATGTTTGTAAGGAGACCATTTTTTTCTTTTAAGAGAGAAATTTTTGCTATAGGACACATGTGCTCGCCGGAGAGACAGAGAGAGACAGAGACAGAAAGCAAGAAATCATCTTGCAGTGGGGATGGCCACGCAATCCCTTCTCCTCCATCTCCTCCTGGGATTTTGGGCACACATGCACATGCACCTGGCGTGAGTTTTAAGCCTGCGGGTCCCAGACTCGAACTGCGGTTGACTGCGTGGGAGTCCAGGGATGTAACCATCATGCCATCTGCTGGTCCCCGAGACCAAATGATTTTTTAAAAAAAGCCTCTTTCCTTTCCTTTTACTGAGAAAGCATCAACTGTCCCAAACAGATCAAGGTACTGCTCCAAGCAGACTCGTTCGCCCGGGGCCCCGGATGGCATCTGATTGTCTGATCCTACATTCCAGGAGGAAATGCATAACATGGCTTTGATCAAGGCCCAGGTGGCCAGTGGGGACACTGGGGGCTCTGGAAGAGAAGGCTGGGCTCTTGTGCAGGTTCTGCTGGTCCGGGGGAGCCTGATGCCCTGGCTCAGCTGGGCTCTGACCGGCTTCTTGGCTGGAGCTTTGAGCTGCTTCTCAAGGTATCTGCTTGTCAACTACAGCCCAGGCCCTGTTCCAGGCTGAAGGACCCCCACCACCCTGGAGCTCCCCTCCTGCTCCTTAGTCCAAGTTTACCAGGCAAGGGAGGAGGCGGGTGCTTTAGCCCAGGGTGCATTCAGCCCAAGAACTCGGAAAGGTCAAGGCTCTGGGCTTCCAGCTCTGTCCATGTGGGGGGAACAATTTGCACAGAGTGTAGATGAAAGCCTTGGCAGCCTTTCAGGGTGCTCACCTTGGTGTAGTGAGTAGAATCTTGGGGGCATTTGAAAGCATTCTGACCCCAGGTCTCTGAGGCAGAGGAGACAGGGAGACTTGAGAAGGCAGGTGTAGTGTCTCCCTGTGGCTTTCTTCCAAATCTGCGTTCGCCCCCATTTCCATCCTGCGTCATGTTTAACTGTCACCCTCCTCTCTTATCATGCATTTTCTTCTCCCCTTCCCTTTCCCTCCCACTGCCCACCCCAACAGCTTTCTGAAGATGAGAGTGACTTGGAGATCTCTTCCTTAGAAGATCTCTCCCAGGACCTGGACCAGAGAGAGAAACCGAAGCCCCTGTCTCGTTCGAAACTCCCAGAGAAGTTTGGTGCCAGGCCTTGGAGTGCTGGCCCACCTAGAGTACCTGGCTGGTGATCCTGTCCCAGAGCCTGGCTGGGACTCGGCTGAGGTCACCTCAGATCCTACCCCGACAGAAGAGGAGGCTTCCAGATTTGGACAAGGGCTTGTGCTCACCAGCAACCGAGAGGTCTTCCTCTTGGAGAAAAACAGAGTGGAGGAGAAATCTGATTTCCTCAGCCCCATCCCTACCTGTGTGGTTCCCTGCCCTGGAGGCCCAGGGCTAGGGCTGTGTGTCCTTGGGTCCCAAGGCTTGAGGAAGGGCTGTGACAGGACCTGCAGGCTGTTTTCTTCCTCTCGTTCCATATCCACTCTGGACCGAAAGGAGTAACCGTGCAGAAATACAGTGGGTCCTGTACGTGGTTCCCTCCAGGGGCGTGTGCGTCAGTCAGTCGTTCAATGATCTGAAGTCAAATACTGAGCACCTGCTCTGAGCCACGTTCTCTAGCCTTTCCCTGGTGACAGGCTGCAGGCAGAGTAGACAGGGCAGGGCCGGTCCAGGGGTGGCCTAGTGACAGGGGTTAGGACTTACAGGAGCATGCGAGAAGCCCGCCAGCCCAGCCCAGGGTGATCTTGGACAGCTCCCCAGAGTCGTGATGTCTGGCTGGGCCTGTTCATGGGTGGGAGGGTGACCTGCTGGGGCCTCCTACCCCCTAAGGACAACAGACTGAATTTTCAAAATTATTTTCCAAGTCATTGTATTTTCCATAGCCACTGTATTTTTTTAGTGGGAAAAACATTAATTTATTATATACAGACTTTTAAATATAGCATAATGTTACAACTCTCTGGGTCGATGTATTTACTTTTCTCGTTGTTTCTGGCACTTTGTGGGAGGTGAGAGTGTGGCGTCAGTTTAGGATCTTGAGGATGTGATTGCCACGGGGCAGTCAGGTGGGCACCGGGCTCTTTGAGGAGCCTCACCTGGGAAAGGGGAAGGCGGTGGAAGCAGGATCAGGCTGGCCGAGGCCACAGAGTGCCATGCGGATCTGACCACTGAGAAGGAGAGAGGAGGGAAGCTGAAGGGAGCCCGGGACTGCCATGCTGGGCAGACAGGGCTGCCTCCTATCCAGGGGGCGCTAGAGAGCGGGAGCTGCCCATGAAGGAGCCTCCACCGGGTGGAAATGGCCAGACCTGGTGCCCACACGGTGCTTGGCCTTTAGCTGGGGTGGCCCAGGATGAGTGAGACCTTGACTTGAGTCCTGTCCATGAACTTTACTCTTCGTAGTTGAACAGCAACTTTATTTCCTGAAGGGAAACCAGACCACAAGCGACCCTGTCTGCCACAGCAAGACCTCCTTTTAACTTTCTGTTATGGAGAATTTCCAGTATATGCATACGCATATGTACACATAGATATCGCCAGTACAGGGATAGTGTGATGAGCCCAGGCCCTCATCACCGGGCTCCGTCCATTACCCACTCAACTCAGACACAGTTTTGCTTCACCTGTTACCAGCTCCTCTGCTCCCCGGGCTTCTTTTGACCTCCAGGTGGTCCTGACACCTGGGGTAGACCCTCATAGGTTCCTCATAGGAGGAACTGGGGGAAGGGTGATGGAGGAAAGCCATCAAAGAAAGCAGCAGGGATCTGTGGTGGGGTAGGGGGTTCCCTTTGTGTAGCTCACACCTTTGAACAGCTGAGAAAGCGTGTGATGGATGATCCAGTAGCCATGTGAAGAGGGGGTAGGGGCAGTACTCACTGATAAGGGGGGTTCATTCCTCTCAAGATTCTGGACCCCCCCCCCCAAAAAAAAAAACAACAAAGGAACCAACAGTTGGTGTAATGGCTATGTCGTTGGACTCCCATGTAGTCAACCGCGGTTTGAGTCCCAGACCCGGTGGCTTAAACTCATGCCGGGCGCGTGTGCGTGCATACCCAAGATCCCGAGAGGAGAATGGAGGAGAAGGGATTGTGGCATGGCCATCCCCCCCAGAGGGTAATTTCTCGCTTTCTGTCTCTCTGTCTCTCTCTGTCTTTCTAGCAAGCGCACGTGCCCTATAGCAAAAACCTCTCCAAAAAATAAAGATTCTGCCAAGAAAGTTGCATTTTTCTGTTCACTGGACTTTGGCAAGGAAAGTGGCGAATATGCCACGCCCCAGCCTCCCATTACCTCCTGCTTTCGTGCCGCTCTGAGCACACTTCCACTGCCAGTGTACCACATTCCAGCCTGTGCCTTGTGGTCTCTGCTTTTTGGCCTCAGGGATATCTCTGATGCCGTGGAAGGTAGCACTCCTACCTGCAGTCGCCACCCGGGAGTGAAGAGCTGATGCTACCCGTGCAGCCCGTAGCACCTCTGAGTTAGATTAATGTGATCCTTGCCTCTGGCTTTGCTTTCAGGGGGAGCCCAAATGAGAACAGTCAGTGTATTTGTGCATGTACATGTGTGTACACATGGAGACAACTATGTGCTAGGCTTGAATGTACCCTGCGCTCCTCATTCATGTGTTGAGATTGGTTGAAGATATTAAGAGGATGGACACTCAATCCAAATGTGGGATTAAGGGGTAGGGCCTCAGGGCCTGCAGGTGATGTGGTTAAGGCACTGGATTCCACGTGGCTGATTGAGGTTTGAGTCTCAGACCTCACAGCTTGAAAATCATGCTGGGTGCATGTGTGTGTGCACCCAAAATGCCAGGAGGAGAAGGGAGAAGGGAGAAGGGGTTGCAGCATAGCTGTCCCCCTGGGGATGATTTCTCACTTTCCCTCTTACTGTCTGTCTCTCCAAGTGCAAGCACCCTATGACAAAAACCTAAAAAAAAAAAATAAAATTAAAAAAAAAAAAGAAAAAGGAAAAAGGTAGAGCTTCTGGGAGATGATTAAGATTGAATGAGGTTAGCTGAGAGGTTTTTGCTATAGAGCAATGATTGAATCCCGGTGGCTCTACAGAAGGGAGAGAGACAGACAGACACATACAGGTACATTCTTGTCTCTCACCATGTGATGCCCTCACAAGACCCTTACCAGGTGACACTCCTTGACCTTGGGCCTTCACAATTATGAGCTAAATAAACCTCTATTTTTTTTTTTTGAGAGGTTTTTGCTATAGAGCACATGTACTCTCCAGAAAGAGAGAGACAGAAAGTGAGAAATCACCCCCCAGGGGAGTGGCCACACTGCAATCCCTCTCCTCTCAGGATCTTGGGCACACACGCACACACACCTGGTGTGAGTTTAAGCCACTGGGTCTAGGACTCGAACTGCGGTTGACTACATGGGAGTCCAGCAACGTAGCCATTACGCCATCTGTTGGTCCCGAAACCTCTATTCTTTACAAACTACCCAATCTCAGGTATTCAGTTGTTATGAAAGAAACGTGGACCCATGAGAAAGACTTCTCGAAAGTTCGTTATGATGTATGTTTTCAAATGGGTTTTGGTTTCTGCTTTCGAGGCTTTGACTAACATTATTACTTGGGTACTTTGATGCTGTTCACCCTTCCTCATTTTCAAATTCTTTGGCGAGTTTGTTAGTCAGGGTTCTCTAAAGAAACAGAACCTCTCGTATGTATGAGAGGGGACTTATTAAGGGACTGGCTGAAGCAGTAAGTGGGACGGAGAAGTCCCACAACCTGCTGTCTGCAAGCTGGAGGCCCAGGGATGATGGGCCGTGGCTCAGTCCAGGTCCCAAGGCCTGAGAACGAGGGAAGCCGTGGTGTAAGCCTCGGTCTGAGGCCAAGGGCCTGAGAACCTGGGGGCTGCGAGTCCTGGTGCGAATCCTGGAGTTCAAAGACCAGGGAGCCTAGAGCAGGGCAGGAAAGGGTGTCCCAGCTTCAGAGAGAGAGAATTAGTCTTCCACATTTTTGTTCTATTGAGGTCCTCAGCCACTTGAGTGGGGTCCATCCGCACTGGGTGAGGGCAGATCTTCCTTACTCACTTTACGGACTCAAGCCCCAGTCTCTTCCCTTCATAGACATGCTGGGAAATAATGCTTTACCATCCGGGTATCCCACAATCTCATCAAACTGACACTTAACAGTAGCTATCACAGCAAGACTTATAAGAACTATGGAACTCACGTAGCAGATTATTTACAAATTATACAAATAACGAGATTTATGTAGCAAAATCAGAAAATACAGATAATCAAAAAGAAAAGTAAATTCAAGTAACTCCCCAAGTCAGAGTCAATTACTCTTAACTTTTGATTCATGCGCATTGATTAAAAAAAAAAAAGAAAAACGACAAAAAGTAAGCTACTCTTGGGATTCCACTATATTTATTCTTCTTAGTTTGATTTTCTTCCTTGAAAGTAGATTACAAATGCCCTTATCTTAGTATATGGAGATCAACATAATTATATTTAATGGCCACATACATACACCTAATGGCCAAGGCAAAGATGATAAACATTTATTTAACCAGGCATTTCCATCTTTGGCCTTTTATAAATCATGACGTGATTAAAAATATATGCATTTACATCTTTGCACACTTGATTAAGATTCCCTTAGAATAACTAGAAGTGATGGTGCCGGCCAGCATGGTGATGAGAGCCAGCAGCGTATGCCAGGCCTAGCCAGGGTCCTTACGGACACTGACTCAACCCCACAGCGACCCCTTGAGGTGGGATCCCCGTGACAGGCATTTTATGAACAAGGAGTCCAGACACATAGTAGTTGAGGAACTTGCTGTAACAGGAAAAAATACTTTTTTTTTTTTTTATACATTTTTTTCTTTATTTACATTCATTCACTGTACATCATTATAGCATACAAAATGAGATTTTTCCATTGAGAGGAAAAAATACTTTTTAAACTCTTTTGTTTTGCTTTACTTGATCCCTCTTTCTTATAACTGGTGGTTGTGGCTTCTGTAACTAAAGTTATCTGTAACTATGATAACAAAGTCATAATTAAGCTTGTTTGCTTAGAAGAGGAAACTGAAGTCTCTTGTGTTAGGCAATGGTCACAAAAATTGTATCTGGGGCTGTAGTCCCTGGCAAGAAATCTTAAAGAGAGGGGAATGTTTGCTCAAGGGACGCCGTGTAGCAGGTTAAATTGGGAAAACTGTCTTGAAGTTATCGTTTACTGTGCTAGTTACTCACAGATGTTTAGATTGTTTTGTTAAAGGGTACAGCTTAAAAAAATATGTTGGAGCTTCCCCTAATCTAACAATGAATGTCACAAGTCTGAGTCAACGGATTCAATATGGCCGTAAGAAAAAAAAAAACAGGGTCATAAATGTCATGCGAAAGGAAAAGGTGCGCCGAACAATTTGGGGAAAACCATGAGGGCGAGAGTCATGCCAGACTAGCTCCGTTTATGTTATGGATAGCCGTGGGTAAGTGGAAAGTGTGGCAGTGTGCAACGTGCTGGGGATTTCTGCTCTGGGAGTTGGTCGTGGGCTGTTAGCTCTTGGCCACTCCCTGCGTTCGAACACAGCTCCATAAACTCCGTGTCTCCCTCTTTGTCTCTTGCTTATTCATAGAAATGACTGCCGGATTCCCCTCCCCCTTTAATTAATTAATTAATTCATTCATTTATGGGGAAGTTTTTGCTATAGGGCCTGTGCGCTCGCCAGAGTGAGAGAGACAGAGAGATAGAAAGTGAGAAATCACCCCCTAGGGGGATGGCCATGCTTCAATTCCTTTTCCTTCATTCTCCCCTGGGGATCTTGGGCACTCATCCACACGTGCCTGGTGTGAGTTTAAGTCACTGGATCTGGGACTTGAACCACAGCTGACTGACTACCTGGGAGTCCAGCGACGTAGCCATTACGCCAACTGCTGGTCCCGGATTTTAACTGACAACA